AAGGCACCACATGACGTTCTGTTATTTTGCTGCACTAAATGAATGTGACTATCCCTTTGAACTGTTGCTATTGAACAGATGCACGCTGCTTAGGCTGGTTGCCTAAGTAGCATGCATCTTACATGTACCATATGCAACCATGTCCTTACACTCCGTGCACTTACTGCATCATCTTGCAAATTGTATGGAAAACCTTCTAGTCAAGTAACTTCTCTTGCCAGGAAGAGATGCTGTTGGCATGGAAAATATAAACCTAATCCAGAACACCATGAGATGATCTGTTTATCAGAAATGGGATGACTATGCGCAGCATGAGAATATGGGCTTCTGAATAAAGTGCCTTCAACACCTTGGGAAATTAAAAAAAACAACAGCTATTGTCTTCTTCTGTGTTTTAAATAACAAAACAGAGCTAAATGCACTTCCCATTGCAGAAGGTGAAATATGGAACAGGATAGATTAAAGTCCATTTTCAAGGTTTTCTCTGGTTTTCCTTCCTTAGCTCTCTCCCTGGCACTTTTAACTGGGTGAGTGATTGCATTAATTTCTTTCTCTTACCTTTTAGAAAAGCCTGGAAGTCTCTGCCCTTATCTTCATTGATTTTGCCTTCCAGAGAGGAGAGTGTCTTGCTCACATCACTCATGACGAGGGAAATGTTGTCAACCTTCTTCTGTAGCAAAGTCAGTCTCATCTCCTGGCTGCTAATCTGCTCATTCATTTTTTGTGCAACTGCTATGTTGGGAGGAAAAGAATGGAACAAAAGAAGAAAGTAACTGAATGGAATCACAAAAGGAATTAAATCACCAAGAGAAAAGCAGAAAGAACCAAAACAAATTCCATGCCCAATTACTCGAAGTGGAGTGAAAACTTTCCGCATTAATAAGAATGGAGCATTTTGATTTTTGTCATGTATCCTGAGTTATGAGTGACATTCATACAAGCAGAGAAGCAAATAATTGCTGAATAATCCATATTCATTATAGAGTAGTTATAATTCCAGGAGAGTGTATTGAATAGTTAACAGAAATTTAATGAGCAAAAGTGGAATGTGGAAGCATCTATCTAGTTGCTTTCCTATGGAGGATTCTGCTTTACTGTTTGAATAAATGCATTGTATTTCTACAGACTGATTGTAAGAACTGGTTTCGCTGCCGTTGTGCAAACAAGAGTTGGCACTGTGAAAATTAAGCCATATCTCAATAATGGCAATTAGGGGAAAAGACATATTGCTCTTCCCTGGAGATATGCAGTCCACCTACTCCCCATTATCCTAGTCTTATCCAAATGCATTATGTTTGCTCAAATTTCCTCCATTGCTCTCAAGCAAAAACTTCAAAAAAAGGGACCCAGGGAATAGCACAGGAAAAGCAAGTTCTACCCTGAGAAGCTACCATCAGAGCTGCCACACCATAACCTGGTGAAATCCCATCATTCTTAAAAACACTACTAAGAAAAAGGAGGAGTATCATCAAAAGAGGGGATAGAGAGTCCCTTAACTGGGAGAAAAGTGGTATAGAAATCCAACAAACAATCTAATAATCATGTGCTGTCAACTGAATTCTGACTTAAAGTAACCCTTTCCAGGGTTTTCTAGGTAGAGAATACATAGAAGTGGCTTTCCATTCCCTTCTTCTGGGGAATGTGCAGCTTGCCCAAGGCCACACAGGCTGGCTCTTCTTGAATGCACAGTTGGGAACTCAGAGGCCACACAAGCTGGCTCTTCTAGGATGCACAGTTGGGAACTCAACTCCCAACCTCCTGCTCTGCAGCCAGGTACTTAACTCACTTCTCCCAACCTCCTGCTCTGCAGACAGATACTTAACTCACTGTGTTATCCAGCCAGCTTAATAACAGATGCACCTAAAATTTGCACAAGCTAGTTTTTATCGGGGCATGGAAAAGCCACTTTTTATCTCCCATTAGCTAAAAAATTCTGGCAGTTCTCATCTTAAAAAGACCCCTTTCCAAGCTTTGACTGAGATGCATGGATGCAAATTTAACAATGTCTATGTAAAAAACATGCAGGATCGTGTACGGGAGACCACGTATTGTTGGGTGATCATTTTAGTGACTCTCCTGGCAACCAGTGCCTGCTCCGTCTGTTGTCCAGGTAGGAACTATGGATGAGGAACTTCAAGACTCGTATTCTCTCTTCTTCTAGAACCTGGGTTTGGAATAGATAGCTCTTCAAACACTTGACCCCTTCAAACAGAGGCACTTGGCATCCTCAGTCCTTGAAATCTATCAGTGCCATGAGAAATAAGTTACTCATCTTGTCCCCTGGATTTTTCATAAGTCCTATTCTTCTGAACAGACTTTAGTATGGGCCATAGCAAGTGAGGAAATAGGTGGATGACAGAAAAGGAATAAGTGGAAAAATTGATATTTTGATTGTTTGTTCATTTCTACAAATATTTAAAGGAATTATATTTAAAAAGTTAAATAAAATCAATACTGAAAACACATTTAAAAGCAACAGAGCTTGTCTCTTGCTGTACAGAGCCAATGTTGTCGTGGATAGAGTGCAGACTAGACTCAGGAGACCTGGGTAAAAATCCCCACTTGAGCGTGGAAACAGTTGAATATCTTACTTTCCTTGAAAACCCTATCAACATCACTGTAAATCAGCAACACCTGGACAGCACAAGGCACACTCCTCCTGCAATACGCAATTGAAAGTGCAGGTGTCCCTGGTTGATGCAAGGGTGTTGTTTGTTCCGCTTGGAATCCTGACATTTGTGTATTATTTCAGTGTATATAGATCAGCGATGGTGAACCTATGGCATGCGTGCCACAGCTAGCATGCAGAGCCCTCTCTGTGGGTATGTGAGTCATAAGTCGCCGGATCACTCCTCCCCCCCAGCCAATCCTGAGGTGGCAGCTGCAGCTGTGGTGTTGACACTTCAACAAACGGCGGGCCAGGATCCAGAGTGGGCTCTTCAGCACCTCCATATGTGAGATTCCCCCTTCTGCTGACTCTTCCAGTTCTGCCGCCACCCACTGTTCCCCACCCCCACCCCCAGTTTGGGCATGTGAGCCGAAAAGGTTCACCATCACTGATATAGATAGACACTCTGGCTAAAATCCTATTGTAGAGTTGCACAAATGGCGTAACATTTAGAGGTGAATTCCCCTAAGTTAAGAAATCTCTGTAGACCTTATCTGTTGCATGCCAAGTCACATAACTCAGTATGCAAGAAATAACATCTCTGGCAATTCACTTCCAAAAGTTACACTATCTCCATAATGGCACAACAGGGTTTTGACTAGACTCAGGAGACCTGGGTAAAAATCCCCACTTGAGCGTGGAAACAGTTGAATATCTTACTTTCCTTGAAAACCCTATCAACATCACTGTAAATCAGCAACACCTGGACAGCACAAGGCACACTCCTCCTGCAATACGCAATTGAAAGTGCAGGTGTCCCTGGTTGATGCAAGGGTGTTGTTTGTTCCGCTTGGAATCCTGACATTTGTGTATTATTTCAGTGTATATAGATCAGCGATGGTGAACCTATGGCATGCGTGCCACAGCTAGCATGCAGAGCCCTCTCTGTGGGTATGTGAGTCATAAGTCGCCGGATCACTCCTCCCCCCCAGCCAATCCTGAGGTGGCAGCTGCAGCTGTGGTGTTGACACTTCAACAAACGGCGGGCCAGGATCCAGAGTGGGCTCTTCAGCACCTCCATATGTGAGATTTTCTGCTGACCTGACTCTTCCAGTTCTGCCGCCACCCACTGTTCCCCACCCCCACCCCCAGTTTGGGCATGTGAGCCGAAAAGGTTCACCATCACTGATATAGATAGACACTCTGGCTAAAATCCTATTGTAGAGTTGCACAAATGGCGTAACATTTAGAGGTGAATTCCCCTAAGTTAAGAAATCTCTGTAGACCTTATCTGTTGCATGCCAAGTCACATAACTCAGTATGCAAGAAATAACATCTCTGGCAATTCGCTTCCAAAAGTTACACTATCTCCATAATGGCACAACAGGGTTTTAACCTCTGTGTTGTCAGAGGGCATGGTATGTGTGTGATTTATCTAACAAACCACCATGCAGCTTTGCCATCCCCAGAATAATTCTTGCTGACACTGTTGAGCAAGGTATGCTGCATCATGTCAGCATTCCGTACTGTACCAGAGGCATGCTTGCCTATCTGTCATTATCTCTGGACCACTGAATGGCAACAATTAATACCATCCAGGCATGAATAATAATTTAATGCACAGCCCCGGAGTCATTCCCCCTTCCATTCAGCTTGTGTTGCTTTTATTGCTTCTTATGAGGTCACTGCATCCTGTATGAATGTCTCCCCTTTTCCCCCAATGATTTCTCCATGTAACACCATAGTGCTCATGTAAACCCATTCTCAATAAATATTCTGCTTTGCCCCCTAACCTTTCTGAGCAGAACCCACAAAGGAAACAAGATTGCAAGAGACTCCGGCGCTTCATGGCGTCGCTTTTGGTGGCCAGGGGGATTTCTTTTGCTGTGTTTTTAATAAATAGTGTTGACAACCATTGTGTTAGGGACTGTAGTAATTACAACCACTGACCTGGGTCACTGGGGTCCTGCTGATGCTGTTGCTGCTGTTGGTTTCCAAATGTTTCTCCATTGACAGCTGTGTTGCTCTCTGCTTGGTTGCTATGTATAAGCAATTGATCCTGTTGGGCTAAATGGG